AGAGGCAGAACTGTGGCGACAAGAAAAAGAGGATGTTGCCTTGATAAACAACTGGAAATATCAGAAACCAAGACAGGTCCACAAAAAAAGAAGTAGGTATCTTTACTTCAAAATTCAGAAATAGAGGACATTTTGCTCCAGATCCTTATTTCTATAATGTAAATAGGTATTTTTGGTAGAAAGGACATTACATTTTAATTTCTTTGGTTTGTATGTACTTAAATCCAATGTTCTTTATATTTCTGTACAAACTCAGTGACCATATATACCAGTGGTAGCGAACCTATAGCACGCGTGCCAGAGGCAGCACTCAGAGCCCTCTCTGTGGGCACGCGCACCATCGCCCGAGCCCTGTCTCCCCCTGCAGCCCCCTCCTCACCAGCAGCCCCGCCAAAGGAGAGTCGCCCCCGGACGCAGCCCATGTGGAGCAGCGCAGCCAAGGACATGGCAGCCGTGCAGCAAGGACAAGACTCCGTCTTCAAGCCCTGTCGCGCGGAGATGATGCTGTGGGGTGCAGGCAGAGGGCGTGGCTGCAATGGCGCTGCAGGGCTGCCTGGGCGATCTGTTGCAGCGGGCCATGGAGGTGGTGGGTGGCCCTGTGGGCAGGCAGGGCAGGGGTGGAGCAGGGGGCAGAGTGGTGGCGGGCAGGGGGTGGGATGGTTTTTGGGCACTCACTCTCTAAAAGGTTCGCCATCACTGATATATACTTTATCAGGTTGTTCAAGATGATACTTTCTTCTAAATGTCTTGAGATTACATTTTTTTCTGATCAATCCTTTAAAATCTGTAAAACTTAGAGTTTAGGGGATTTATGACAATGTGCTTTTTGTGAATTCAATGTGCCAGCTGCTCTGTATTGTAGCTTTGGCAGCTGTAGTAGCTCATGCAGGAATGCATGATTATAATTTTAAAATTAGAAAGTAATTTCTTCTGAAATTCTCTTAAAATTTGATTTTTATCATGTGATTGGTGGGAGAAGAGCTGATATATCTAGTCATGTAACTCCAAGCTATGCAGCTTGTAATTATTTCTTTTTGACCTGTCTACTTGGTCGGGAGTGTGACAGAGGCTTCATGAGTTCATAGGAATTAATTCAACAAACCTTCCTGCTCTTTCTTTTCCTCTTTGTATTAACAAAATAAAACAACTTCTAGTTTCTTTGTCAGGCATATCAAGCAATTCGTAGTATTACTAAACACTAAATAAGCAGCTAAATAACAGTTAAGCAAGCCAGGTTTTTCCCTTCCAGTCCCATCTCCTCCCCCCTCTTTGTGTTAAACAGTGAAGCAACAATAAATCAATCAACATTTTTATTGATCTATTCTATGTGCTTCTGTTCAAACATTTTAAAAGTTAACTCTTCTACTCAGTAAAGCTTACAATGTTAACTAAATGCATCCATCGCTATTTTTAGATTCCCTTCTTACTTAACGTTAAGTAACAGGGTCAGTTATTATACGGTTGACTGTCTTGGGCTGACAGAATATGGTCTTATTCTCTTCAGCCTCTCTTGTAATGTTATTTATTGTCCAGTTTTGCAATTGCTCAACTCAAAAAATAACTCTGGGCAGTTTCAAAAAATTAAAAACAAAAGAAACGTATATATAAAAAACAACAACAAAAGAACAATTCAATGAAATCTTCACATCACCAGAGAGGATCCCAACAGAGGAGCCCTCCACATGAGGCCAGAGCCATGTTTTGGGGGGTTCTGTTGAAGGTGGATAAGGTGGGAGTCAAATGAATCTCAAGGGAGAGTGCTATTATGCAGGGCAGGCACAGCAACAGGGAAAAACTGCTTTCTTTCAGTGTTTCTCAACCTTGACAATTTTAAGGCATGTGGATTTCAACTCCCAGAATTCCACAGCCAGCATTGCTGGCTGTGGAATTCTGGGAGTTGAAGTCCACATGCCTTAAAATTGTCAAGGTTGAGAAACACTGTGCTAGATTATATATTTCTTAATCAACAGGACTTGAAGCAGGCATTATGCCATATTGTGCAGCATAGGTAGCAACCATGGAAGAGAGCTAGTTATATGACGTGCAGTGCATTATAAGACTAAAACTACCATGAACTGTACTGAAAAGTTTACTGGTAACCAATAAAGCTAATGAAGCAGATATTACATGGGAATAGGGAGCACTGACGCTACTGTATTCTGGACCAGCTATAGTTTCTGAGTGATCTTTAATCATTGTAATAGTCCAGTTGCAAGGTGATCACAGCATGAATGGCCACAGCTGCCATCATGTAGGAGCTGAGAATTCCAGGAAGGCTCCCCACTACTCCGGAATGGGGGAATGCTATTGCATTTAGAGCCAAGGATGGAAAGTCCCCAGAACTAGGAGATCCAAAAGTCCACAGCCACTCAATCCTACTATGAATGAACATGTGTTCCTCCCCATGCAGACCCTGACAGCATTGCTTGATTCTATGGCTGCCCTCTCAACAATTGACTTTGAATGATGAACAATATTAAAGTAAAAAATTGCAGTAGTACAATTATTTAAATATACAGCAGCTGTGAAAATATATCCATAATCACTAATACAAATGAAAAATGGGTCCTTGCATACATTTGTAGCAACTGGCCCAGAGAAAGAGCCAGGCCTTTAGAACCTTATAAAAGAACAGCAAAGTATATACTGTATAACTGAAGAACATTCATGCACTAAGGATACTTGATTCTAAATCGATGAATGACCTGTACCAATAGCCAAATGTATTTAGGTATTAAACCATGGGTGAGAGTATTGGGTCCTCTGACACCCCCCCCCCAAGCAGGGGTTTCAGACTCAACCTCTCTCCCACCATTCTTACTGGAACTGGCCAACAGAAAGGAGGAGAACCCTTATAATGCTGTAGTATCCACTGTTACTCCCTATAATCAGTCCAGAAGAATCCATGGCTGATGGTATCAGAATCAAGGATGGTCAAGATGTCTGCATTACCCATAACTTAGTTTTGCCACAGATCATCAATAAGCACCACCAAGGCTGTCTTAATTCTATATTCTGGCCTGAATTCTGATTGAAATGTATCCAGATAATCCATTTCCTCTAGAGTCATCTTTAATATGTAATTAGCATTATCTGCTTTTAATTTCTTTTTTAGTTGTTCACTGTTTACCCTGTCCTTTCAAACAATGATTAGATTTACACTAACATTAAGTGGTTAAAGAGACTGGACAGCCATTTGTCCGAAATGGTATAGGGTTTCCTGCCTGAGCAGGTGGTTGGACTAAATGACCTCCAAGGTCCCTTCCAACTATTATTATTATTATTATTATTATTATTATTATTATTATTATTATTATTATTATTATTATTATTATTATTATTATTATTATTATTATTATATAAGTGGTTTGGTGCAGTGCCTGAACTCAACTGCTATTTGATATAGACTTGTTTAATGTATTAATAATAAAATCTATCTGGGATTGTTCTAATGATGTGCAGAATTTCCCAAATCTAGTTTGCTTTCAGTTTGTCATGTACTCAAATGACAATCTGTTCTTCAAATGTTATAGAAATATTTAAATTGCTTATTTAAAAAAATAGGTGCCATATGTGTTATTCTGTTATGCCCGTGGTGGCGAACCTATGGCACGGGCGCCAGAGGTGGCACTCAGAGCCCTCTCTGTGGGCACGCGCGCCGTCACCCCAGTCCTAGGCCTGCAGCTGGGTTTTATAAAACCTTTTTGCTTTAGGCCTCCGCTGTCGTGTGCAAAAAAAAAAAGTTCAATCAATCAGTCAATTTCAACTTCTCGCGGGAAAAAAAAGACCTTGCACAGTTGGAATTGATTGATTGAACTTTTCAGTCCGACCCAGTCTGCTGTTACCACCGCAGCCACGCCCATCCAATGGGCCACACCCACCTGGCACCCGACAATGCATAAGTGGGTTTTGGGTTGCAGCTTGGGCACTCGGTCTCTAAAAGGTTTGCCATCACTGTGTTATGCATACTTCAACTTTCCTTTAGAAATGGGCAGTGAAATAAACACTAGCAGAGTTGAATTGCACATGTATTGCATGGAATGGATTCTTTTCTGGGAGATCATGCTATTACTTTTGCAAAGTAATCTGTGGTGGATTTTACATTCCAGCAAGAATGTCTAATCTTCTCCTTGCAAATGCAATATTTTGAGTTTTACTGTTTTGGAATCCAGCCAATTGAAAATGTTCTGATGGAATTTTTTAAGTTAGGCTGTTTTTTTTTTTCTGAGCTCAACACAAAAATATGATTTCTGTTTCGTTCATACCCCAATAGATCAATGTTTGTTGCACAGCAGTAATAAATGTGACTTGTGTAAGATAGGCATGGTGCAGGATACTTATGCTCCTTGTCTGAGCTTGATTGTTTTGTTGCAGATGTTTCATTATCAAATTAGGTAACATCATCAGTGCTGGAACAGAGTGAGGTTTGTGATGCATCCTCATCTAAAAAGGTCTCTAACCTTCCCTTTTGGATTGCTATTGAGACAATCATTGGTGAACAACTATAGAGCATTGTAGGGAAAATACCTTATCTGGACTCTTTTTCAAGCAGGATTCAGGTCTCGGCATCCAGTGGAGAGGACTCTGTTTTGTTTTGTTTTATTTTTATTAACTTTGTCAGAATATAGGGGAGAGGGCAACTGTTCTGGTCCTAATGGAACTCTCAGGGGCCTCCCATGTCATCAGTCATAATGCTGCTCTGGATTGCTTGTGAGAGTTGAGGATTAGGGGCACTATGTTGCAATGGCTCCACTCCTATCCGAGTACCATTGGTATAATATTTGTCTATGATTATGCAACTTGTTGGAACTGACTGAACTTGGCATACTTATCTGTCATTGCATAAATCTATCATTACAGTACATTCCTATCTGTTATGGAGTCTAGCATAGTCTGAAATATAGTGTGTTATATTGAGGTAGAATGTTCATAATTTTAATTTTTTTAAAAAAAGATCTAGGATGGATAATTAATTCACACATTTTTGTACCTTAATGCAGGCCCAGACTTCTGTTGCATTAAAGGCACCAACTATGAAACCTGCTGAAACAAAGGTATGCCTTCTAAAAAAGGTGGACAAGTCATTCTTGCAGTGTCATCTATTCAAGTGGGATTTTTTTTTATCAAGTCTTATAGTTGCAGCTGTCAATTTTTCCATTTTTTTTTTAATAAAGAGTGATGTTGTTGAGTGGGGTTGGGAACAAATATGAAACTAGTCTATCATTATTATTATATTTTTGCATAGATTAATGTAATTGAATTCTGCATATTATTAATATGATCTTTGACATGATTTCTGCATTTAACTCATGGATCTGTTTGGTGTAAGTTTTCAGCTGTATTATTTTGGATGCACTATCACATTAATTCCTTTTAGGAAGGTTTATATGAGAGAATATTGCTATTAGCATTATTTAAGAATTATTCTGGTTTATGGGACAGCATTCTTGCCATTATCTATCACTGACATAGGGGAAGTACTATTTTCTTTCTATCTCACTCTTCCACCCCAACCCTAAATTAAAGAAGAAATAATTTCATATAGTGACATATGAGACAAACTGATCAATTTTTCAGAGCCTTTGTTACCATTTGGGAGTGTATCTGGAGAAAAATGCTTATTTTAATTTTTTAAAAATGAATTCTATTTATAATAGCAAAATCATTTTAACTGATTTTGAAAATAATTTGACCAAAGAAATATTGTCAAAAATGATATTGCAGCAAGACAGGATGATCAAGGCTTATATATATATATCACTTGGTGGTTCTTCAACTTAATTATGAGCCAGAATCCAAGATTCTTTTGCTTTTAACATTTGTTGATCTTTATCAGATTGGTGCTCAAATGGTCATCATATAAATAGACCAAGTGGCTGCTGTATTTGTAGACTTAACGTGATAACCACATAGGTTTAAAAAGATTGGGAGAGCCATCTACATTATAGGATTGCTAAACAGTTAAAACTTGGACCTGCAGATATGTTCTTTCATTCATAGAAATAGATTTAGTGTTTTAATTGGTTCTTTGTGAAATATGTTTAACATAGGAGCAAATGGAGCCACTGAGAAATACGATGAATAGTCAAGTTGGTCAAGCCAACTTTCAGAAGGTTATTCTTCATAGAGCTTGTAGTTGAATCTATTGTCACTGAAACTAGAGTTGAGTATCTTGTTTTACAAAGGACTTCTATTTTGTGTTCTCCTAATGCTTGGAGAAATAAATGAAGATTAACATAAATGTATGTTAATCTTAGGCTTCATAATGCTTGGTTTACCTATTCAGAAGCTTTCTTATAAAAAGGCAGCATGTTTGTTGGGGGAACAATTATCCTTTTCCTATATTACTGTAATTACTGAAGCTATTCTATTTTCAGGAAGCAAAAGTTAATATAATTTCCCAATGACATCTGTTTCCATACTTGCTTTCTTGTTTAATTAGGAATCACTCACATTTTTATACAATAGGCATTGATATTGCAAGTTCCTTAAATAGCATGAAGAAATTTTACAGAACGATGCTACTACTATTTCTCCAAAACATAGTCAATAAGGTTAATCTTCCAGATACTTATATCATTAATTCTATCCCATGTGCATTGAATACCAATTATTCAAACAAACATATAATTATTGTGTAGATAATACTGGACTTACGGCCACAATCGGGATTGGAACTTTCGTGCTAAGTGATGCTATCATTAAATGAATGGCACCTGATTTTACAACCTTTTTTACTGTGATTGTTAAGGAAATATGAATTCTCCCATTGACTTTGTTTGTTGGGAGCCCCATGGGAAGATTGCTGATGGGGATCACGTGAACCCCCCCCCCAGGATGCTGCAACTGCTGTAAATACATGCTGCCAAGCATCTGAATATTGATCACATGGCTGTGAGGACACTGTGACAGTTGCAAGTGTGAGGGAAATGTCATGTCATTTTTTGACAGTGTCATAACTTTAAATGCTCATTTAAATGAATGGTTGTAAATTGAAGTCTACCTGTATATGTTTGCCAGTATGTTTAGAGGTTTAGGTACTAATTGGGTTCAACTTGGGTTCAACTTATCTACAAATCAAAGCTCAAATTTTTTTAAAGCCTGCCACAGACTTAAACTTATGCTGTTTTATAGATAATGATGTAACAGTTTGCCATTTCCCATCAGTCATTGTTAAAAATTCAAGGGTCAGCTAATCTTAAAGTGACACATTTTTTACCTTTGACTGAAATTTTGAACGTTGACGTATTTGCATTTAGCCTTATCCACAATTGTGTATGGTTATTCTCAGTACCCAGTGGCATTGTCAGTTTGTGTTTCCCAAACCATAGCTAGTTATGCAATATAATCGTGTACAAATAAGATTGCTGTAGCTGGTACCTGCAAAATTCCAAGTAAGCAATAAAATTTAACAAATTACCCCATCTTAATAGGTCTGTATCCAAGGACAGTCTTCTGACTGTCTTATAAACAAGCAACTATAATTGTAATATGTAATCTGGAAGAGTTGCACAATAGTGGCATGTAAAATGATGGGGATGAAATACATTTGTGTGACAATATAGGAGCCTGGAAAATTACTGCACTATATTATTTCCAAAGAAAATAATCAGGACTGAGATAGCATGATGGCTGCAAAATTCCAGAAGAAGGTAGCATTAACAAAAAGAAAGTACCTCTGTAATGGCATTTCTCAAAGAATAATCCTGGAAGGTACACTCACACTATTAGATGTATTCAACAATCTTGTTCCTAGGGTTAATGTGGAATTCAGCTTTCATCATTCTCAAACAGCATTGCCAATAGTAAATAACTGTTATATGACTGACTATTTTCAAACCTGAACTCCCATCCAAATTAACCTAAATTATTCCCCGTCACCCAGCCTGCTACAATGAACTTTGCTTTGTTCTGCATACTCCTAAATTTTAAGATTGCTGGAATCTAGAATGGTATTGAGTCTATTGCATTATCTGTATTAAGGGCAAAAAAGAAATAAGGTATTTGTGTTTACTCATCTCCAGCCACAGCACAGAGAACAAAAAGTTATCTCCCCTCTCAAATAAATACAGTTGTTATACACATGACACTTGGATGTTAAAAACAATGTTTTGGATTGGCTGAGATTTTCTTTCTCTGCTGTTACAGTACATAGATTTGCTATTAAGCTGCAAGGGAACCTTCAGATGTTGCTTAACTACTGTTTTTATCATCCATCTATTGTCATTATGGCTGGGGCTGTTGGGGATTGTGATCAGCCAGATGTAGGATAAGATAGCTTTCATGTCTGCCTGATGAAGGTAGAGTTTTGTTGAAAAATAAAGTGATTGTTCTAGCTGAGCTCAGAAATGGCCAAATAAATATGAAAAAAGTCTTGCTAGTCGAAGAGCAATCTGTCAACTAGCTTTCCACAGCTCAAATTATGCAATGCTAAATATTAAATTAAGCAAGCATATTGAGTGTGGCCTGTTAATGCAATTCTCCACAAATAATTTATAAGTGAGTTCAACTGAGCTGACTGCATTTTCTCTAGTAAATGTTCATTGAACCCCAGTCTAAATTCAAGGGAAATCATCAAGATAGAAACTAAAGAAAATAAGCATTTCCCAGAGTTGAAACAACAGAACCATGAGGGAGTATTAAATTGAAATGTTCAATAAACCTCAGTATCTTGGTAACAAGTTCTTTTGTTTTTTGGGGCAGGGAAACCAGCATGCTTATAAGCAACATTTATAATCCAAAGCTATGCAGAGTTTGAGATATGATTCAGCAGTTTATTTCATCCTTTGTTTTGAATGATGAGCATTCAATGAGCTCATATAAAAGAAAAGGACCATGTCCTCTTGCCATACAGAAGTAGTTTAATACAATTAGAAGGCTGAAATTCCCCAGTTTTATTTGAGGATGGAAATAAAATGACATGTGTAATAATAATTATAATAATTCATTTTTTGAAATCTTTTAGCCTTTCATTTTTTTAAATCAAGATGTTACTACCTCGCTACTCTCTTATACTTTTGTCTAATTATTATCAGTCTGCTGTTCTGAATGTTGTGCTTTCTATTATCATAGAAACATGTGGTAAAAAAGTAAAAAAAAAACTTTTACTATGACCATGGAATAAAAATTAAAACATTAAAACAAAACAGAGCAAGACCAGAATTGCTACATGGAGAGTGTTATAACAGGCTAGAATTAGTGCCCTCTGAAAGTTAGAGACAGTTATATGATATAACTATCTCACTGGCTAGTGAAGGGAGATCTGATTGTTCAAGAAAATGGTCCTGGGTAGAGGAACGTTGGTGCTGTTGGATTTCCTGATATTTAATATGTTGTTTAAATGCACTAAGTGTACACTCATAGGCCATAAGGGAACTCCTCCTTGGAGAGGCCAAAATGTTGGAGTTTTTGTGAAATAGTTCTAACCAGTGCTTTTTTTGTTAAAAAAAAAAAAAGGTGCTGGAACTCACACATGTCATACAATCCGCCTTGCCTACCCTACAAGGTTCCATCCAAAAAAGGTGCCGGAACTCCTTTCTGAGCGTTCTATGACAAAAAAAAAAAAGCCCTGGTTCTAACCCATGTTGATTTATAATTTGTCCTCCATAAGGAGAGCCTCAAACCTGAGGGAAAGAACATTAATTTCAGCCAGCGTGCTATAATGCAAGCTCATGCACCTGTTTTGACCTTGGACATACTGTCTGTGTGTTTGTGCATAGTCGGGTACTGTGCACATTCAGCTATTTCACTGGTAATCCCTGTGCCTCTTTAATTGAGGATATTGTCATTCTGCATTTTCGGCAATGGCCTCACACACTCTATCATGTCAGAGTTGGCAAATATCCACTTCCAAGATGGGCCATGATGTCGTTGACAAGTAGGCAAAACTTTCTATTCATTAACCAGGGAAGATGTTGCATCTCATAGAATAAAATGATTTAAGTGTATTAATTATGTTTACTTTATACTCATATACTCAGTAGAATTCTAGATTATCTAGATCTTTTATGTGTCAATTTAGGGAATAAATGCACTTCTTTCAGTTGAAAGGACTTTCTTAGAAATCTTTGTACTCAGAAAACAGAAAAATCACCTCATCTACCTAATCTGTAGTCCATACATACATCAGGATTATTTCCAAAACTTGGGATCAAGTCTGATTTATTCCAAGTTATAGAGTAAGCAGATATGACACAGAGTTGTATATTTCTGGAATGAAATTAGGAAGAGAATGAAAGAATTTTATCCTCTGCCTCCCCTTTTGCATCCACTATTTTTTTTAGAATTTCTAATTACCCAGAAAAGAGAGCCTAAAACCTTTTTTAAGGACAAACTTGACATTTATATGTATATATTGAAAAGGACAAGTTGTACCATTACAAATAATATACAATGATGTTTAAAGATAAACATTCCTATTTGGAGAATAGAAATTGAGAAAACTCAGTGTGAGTTCTAATTCTGTTTCAGTCACTTTAGGAAACCAAATCAGAAACCAGCCATAATGTAGTTGGAACCAGTTGATAAATCAAAATAGTTACCTTAGCATCCACATTTGTCAAGGCAACAAGTCTATAGTTTGACTGTGCAGGGCTGTGGATTTGAAGGGAAAAAGGTGCTTCAGAGCATCAGAAGCCCTCATGTAGCATTGGTCAAATTCCTTAATGCAATTAATTTTTTTTATGGGAGACAATATGTTTGCATTAAGGAGTTGCAACAAGTGGTACAATTGCCACCACATCTTTCAAAATATCTTTATTCTTTCAGTTTCAAAGTGCTTCATGGCCCTAGTCAATAACTAGAATACATAATATGATCTTTGTCCAGCTTGGGAAGAATTATAATGTTTGGCTAAATGACACATAGGAATAAGAATATTTTATTTTAAAAAAAACTTCAGTACATACTTCATAAGAATAAGAAATATACTTCATACTTTATAAGAATAAGAAATAGGAATCCTAGATATTTTTATATCAATCAACAGGAATATTTTGCTAGCACCCTTCCATACTTTTATCAATATAATTGTGTTCACCATTTCTTGAGGATAGAAAGTTGAGGTTGATAAGAAGTTTCCTTATACTTTGAGCAATTTCTTTCCAAGATCCTGAGTTTTTACTCCCAATACTAGGCTTCCTCAAGCCAACAACAGACAAGTGGAGTGGAATCCCAGAAAAGGAAGAGAAACAAGAAGAAGGTGATACAGCCCCTGGGTTGTGTGTGTTTATGCTTGATAATAACAGCTATCACATTGCCAGCATGTGCTCATTCATTAGTCCTTAACTAATACATTCTAGTTTATTTTTACCTTTTCTTTTATATGATCGTGTTGCAATCTCTTCTCCTGGCACAGCACACTTTGAAAACGTGTCATATAAATGCAGTCTAATAATATTTCTTACCATTTAGTCTACTGTGCACCATACATTGTGGTTAATATTTATGTCCTGGAGAATGATGTAGCTGTGCTTTGGCAAATTTCTTCTTATCTAAAACACAAGAAAGCTAAGAGATTTCTGCATTTTTGCTTGTTTTTGATAACTGCTGTACAATATTAAAATGTGTGGATGCATCAGAGAAAAGCTTTTATTCAAATTACAAAGAGGCTAGTTAATTGAAAGTATAGTATTATATAGAGTTTGAAGTGGACAATTTAACCTGTTGCTTATATAGATGCTTATATATGTGCTTAATATTTAAGATGATATAAAAGCAATAGTAATTGGTCTAAATTCCACTTTCTGATTTGAATTTCTATTTTCCTTCTAATCCATGATTTAAATTATTCTCATAAATGCCACCCTAACATTGCATCATTCATTACCTATTATATTTAGATTTCATTTCTTCATTCTGTTCTTGTCGCAGATGGTAAAAATTTTGCCTATGCACCATGCAGTTGTTTTTGTACCATGCAGTTTTATTGTTTTTGACTTTTATTATATATTTGTTATGTATATTTATAATGTACATATGATTATGTGTATGTTGTTTTATTCTTGATTGTCAGCCATCCATAATTTGGTTAAGATGGATGGCTATATAAGTGTTTTTAATATATAAATAAAAATAAACACAGGTTTGTCTAAGTCAATTAAATGATGCTCAAAGTCATAGAAATAGTTTTTGGGCTTCTTAGTTGTAACTTTCTCACAAGAGATCCAGAGACTTTAAGTTATACACAGCTTACAGAAAACCTTCCTGCAGTAGCCAGTGAAAAATGTAAATTAAGTAATTTTTTTTATTTTTTTATTATTTGTACTGCAGGCAGCACAAAAATTAAAGACAGAATCTGAAAAAGCACTACAGGACAAAAAGGTAGGATGGAAAGCCTTTATTCTGAATATGCATTAAATACACACAATATTATTTTTTTTTCTTTAAAAACACTCCTTTGGTTTGTTCCTATGTGTTTACCTGATTTTATTTTATTCTTTTAACCTTCTCTTATTCATACTAAAGATATTTTCTCAACAACATACAAACCAGTTAGGATTACTGTAGAATTAGAAAAGCCAGCGCTGTGCCTTTTTCTAAGTGTGCATGGTAGCTCTGTGGGACCATGAAAATACATTTTTGAATGTAAGAGGTAGCAAATGTGTTCCACCGAGTCAAATGCATATTGGGATTTGTTGGATTGCACAGCTTCTGTATGAACCCAGAAAATTCAGATACCAACCCACATTACCTTTTCTCCCATTTTGATTGGAACAGTTGCAGTTCTGGTTTTCAATAACCCTAACTTTAGTTATAATGATAAGCAGAGGGTTGTAAAAAAATTTTTTTGAAACTGAGAGCCAATTTGAGGTAGTGGTTAAGGCATCAGGCTAGAAATCAGGAGATTGAATTCTAGTCCAGCCTTAGGATAAAAGCCAGCTGGGTGACTTTGGACCAGTTGTTCTCTTTCTCAGCACAACCCACCTGACAGGGTTATTGATGTGGGGAAAATAGGGGGAGAAAGAAGTATTAGGTATGTTCGCCTCCTTGAGTTATTTATAAAAATAATAAAGGTGGGACTAAAAAAATTAAATAGTTGGAATTGTTTGAAAATATTTCTGTTATAGTTTTAAAAAGCTGTTTTCAAGATAATGTTAATGTGTATTTTCAGACTTAATTGTTCTCTCCAGATGTACATATTTGTACTTCACCTCAGTGTCCAAATAAAGTAATTTTAAAGTTCACTGCTCTGAAATCAGCAGAATGTGGACCAAATGATATTAAAATATACAAGCATGTGTGTTGTGTATCTGTGTCTGTCTGTCTGTCTGTCTGTCTATCTATCTATACACACACACACACACACAAACCTATTAAGAGAGCCAGTCAGAATTAAATATAATTTAATATAATTATAACATAGTTTTAATATAATTATATAGTATAGTATAAATTAGGGTTTTACTTGATTGTCCTCAACTGTACAGTAGTCTTAATCTAGTTTAGGTTCTGGAAGTCATTAACAGTGTATAGAGCAGTAAAAAGGTTTCATTCAGATTTCAATATATGGTTAAAAACTCACTGGACCATTTCAATGGTCCAATCTGTATTACTAAATAAAATAGAAGAATAAAAGAAAAGAAAAGAAAAAAAATCAGTTGCCAGGTAGGTCTTTAATGTAATACAAAATTTCTTTGTTGTTATTTAATAATCTTATGGATTTTTTGCTACATAAATATAGCAACCCTATATCATTTAATGGAATTTATGTTTAGGCTTTAAGTGTACTATGCAGAGAGCTAAGCTCTTAAGAAAGGATTAAATAGCAGAATAAATAATTTCAGTTTTGTATTGAAGCCTGTATGAACAATGTTATTTTAAACTATATTAAACTATATAAAAATGAATGAGCTTATATTAATTTAACATATTTGATTATTCAGCTTTTAAGTATTTATTATCTTTAAAGAAATCTGATAATAGTGGAAAGATAGAATATAAATTATTACCCTACCCTTGAAGGACTGTGTCTATCTTAGTGGTGGGATTTATATTTTAATAATCAGACAGGGGTACATGACTATGTGAATATATCAGTTATAATATAATTATGTTAGAAGTTTTATGTCTATACAGTGTTGAAATTTGTACTTTGTAGGGAAAGTAATAATATTGACGATTATTTTGTTCATCGTTCTGTCCTAGAATAAAAATGAGGTTTGATTAAGTTTTCATATTACTGTGTGTACTATAGGCAGATGAATCTCAACCTGTCGGTCCAATTGAAGGGAAGCAGAAAGATCCTGGAGGGGTAATTGATTTACATATTATGATAAAAATATTTTAAATGCAAATTAGTATAAACAGATGCATAAAAATTTAAAAATATATTTGTGCAGGCAAAAAGTCCAAGCAAAGATTCTTTAGGGAAGGAGCCTAAGCAACCAAGTTCGGGAAAAGAAGCCTCTGGTCAAGATGCCAAGTCAACACAGTTGGCATCAACTAAAAAAGCAAAGGTAAGGTGATTTTTCTAATGAAAATATTCAAGTAGCATTTGTTATGTTAAATTTATGATAGCCTACTCCAAAATGATACACTCCAGAAATGCCAAGACTTGTTTACTAGGATTCCTAACCAAAGGCCATGTTAAGTGGGAATCCTGGAAACTGAATTTTATTAATCTGGAGAGCAACATAATGAAAAAAACTAGTAGAAAAGGAATCCCAAAGACTAAGAAGGACAAGTGAGGAAAAATGTATTACTACATAAATCACTTTGGAAATAACTTTCACCCTTTCTGCATTCTTAAAAACAGATAAGAATATATTCCAGATGTGTAATTATGACCTGTTATAATTATGGTTGGGGGGGTTGTTCTTGTTGTACAAATGTCTGCAGAATAATAAGGCAATTTCAAGTACTTGGGTAATTTATATTGAAGGTGAAACCTCATAGTTGGTCACTTTATTATATTACAAAATTGGCCAAAGCCCACTAGCGGGACATACTAGCCACTGTTTGATCCTGCCATAATAGCTGCATTGCAGCATTGTGCAATAACTCAGTCTGGTTGTTTAAAAATGTACTTAAAAAGCTTTACTGTGGTAGTTTCAGAATAGAGTTTCCATTAGTAATCATTGGTTAATATAAAAGCATTTTGTAAGGTTAGTGTATTAAATTGGGCTAGATCACATCCCTACTATGAGATTATTGAATTATTTAAGAAATGTTACTTTCCTTAACACCTCAGTTTTAATGAGGCACTGTATAGAATAGCATTGTGCATTGCCAATAAAATATTTTTTCCTCTCAAATTTTTGCATGGC